GATATGGTCATTTTTGTTAGTGGATTTTTGGTAAACTTTAAAATCTAATTTATTATCGTTACGTATTAATAGGATATCGAGGAAAGATAGAGAGTTATTGTTTCAAATTAATTTCTGAACTCGATGAGTTTAGCTATTATGTTTAAAAGATTAGTATCTTGGGGATATAATAAGAGAACGTCATCAATATATCAATATGTCTTAGATAAGTAGAGCTGTTAGGTATAGTGTATTTAAATGGAGCTAATCTAAGAATTTTAGAAAGAGGTAAACGAGAATGCCACTGATATAAAGCCCCATGGATATACCGAATTTTTGTTTGTATGTTATTGAAATAAAACAAAAAGTGTTTAGTGATTAATTTACATATCTTTATTATTTTGTGGACGGGTAAAGGAAACTTATCCTTGGATTTATTGCGGTGATTTTTTAATATATTAAGGCATTCTGTGGTGGGTATATTGGTGTATAGTGATTTTATGTTTAAATTAGTCATATATATATATATATATATATATATATATATATATATATATATATATATATATATATATATATATGAGAGAGAGAGAGAGTAAGAGAGAGAGATGATATGTGAACATTTTCTCGATAAAAATATCCTATTCAAAACGAAGGACCTCTTTTTATGACCCAAATATCTCCATTGTATTGAGATCTACTGGTATTAATCGTAAAGTAATATATTTTGCGGGTGAGGATAGCTGTGGCATGAGAGAGTTTTTATCCATCAGCCTATAAGTCACTCATCCCGCTTATCATTATTATCTACTCCTCAGCATCGTAAATATCATTTTTCTTGTTTTTGTTCTAGTATAGTTTGTTTGTATTGACTTTCGTTTCACGCACAAACATATCTGACATCTTTGACGGAAGTGACAAATATTTTCTGTGATCTTTACAGAATCTGCGATAGATACTTTAATGAGTTATTAAATAGACTATTTAATCACATATAATCCATATTAATCCATATTAATCATCATTAAGTGTTAATATCAGTTTTAACTAATGATTTATACAGCGGCGGGTATGCAGCTCCCTCTTCTGTTTTCTACTTATTGTCAATTCGTTACATTCGTTAAGGTATTTCTAAGGTCTTCTTTTTTCCCTATTTCCATTCTTGTTCTTAACCCCTGGGGAAATGTTCCCAGCACCCCGATAACCACTGAAACGATTTTCATGTTCATGTTCCACAAGTTGCTCACTTTTCTGACACAGGTCAAATGTCAATCAGCTGCTGATTAAACGATGTGTTAGTTTCATGATTTTTTCAATATTTCGAACTGTCATTGAGTACTTTTATCTATCAATATATGATGAAATAACAAGAATAACGTAAATCAGTTCCAATTGTTGACACTGCCACAGAGGCCTACATATATACAAAATGAACTAGTCTAATAGGTGAAATATGAAATAGACATATAGAGAGATTGATGGATATTTTAGATGAAAATGGATTTATTTTAACCTACATCTTTTAAAGTACAAATTTCTAGGCTACTTTCTCCTACATAAAGTGCACAATGTGAAATACAAAATGGAGGCATCTTCTAGCTCAGACATACACAAAATGGACACACTTTCATGAGTCAGCCAAGAACGAAAAATGTCACACTCAAGAAATGAAGATTCGATTTTTTGAGACAATGAATCGATTATCCACCGATAGGTTTTATCCGACTACTTACTTATGAATCAATATAAAGATCAAATCGCTTGCGATCACCTTACGTAGACATCTTAAACTTAAGTATATAGCGTTCGATTTCAGTTTATCGATTACTCGAAAAAACCTAGAAAGTTTTATCTACATATTTTTTTTTATGTGGAAGTTGATAGAATCTGCAAAGTAGGGAGTTCTCAATACTTTTTATTAAAGATGCATATTTGCTTAGTTTTTCATTTGGATTGTACACAAAAAATGTGCATTTTCTAAGAAAAAAATGCTAAAAATTCATAATTTGTTCTATTCAATTCAGACATTATTGTCATTTTGTTTCTTAATTCCTACCCTAGAATGAATCAATAATCAGTAACTTGACAGTTATTAACTGAAATTATTTTATTAAATTTTTCCCCGTATAATTTTCAGCTTAAGTTAACATAATTATGTTCAAAAATTCTTCACGAACCTATGTAGCCACGCCGTGTTAGATAATGTCAAAAATTCCGAAAATTTCAATTTTTTCCAGAAACAAAAATAATCGTTTCTAATTAAAGAATTGTAACAGTTGATATTTTTCTTTCATCAACGCTGAAGAACGTTTCAGTATTAATGATGCGATCAACTCTTTATTCTGCGCCAAAATAGACACTCTGAATATGTCTTTTACTCATGATTAAATTTACTGGTAATATAGCTGGATTATAATAGATGATTACATATGCAGACCAAAAAATCAATACATTAAAAAATACAAGCTTTATCAAAGCTACTCTGACGTCATAATAATACGCAGTATATCCTCCTTGGGCGTTAAGAGAGGCCTTTGCGCACGCATGCGTACGATGGTACAGATGGCGAGCGAATACACCATTCTGCGATAAATTGCTTCACGCCTTTTTCACCAGTTGATACAATACAGCGATAGTAGGTGTGATAACCGAACGAGTCGAGCGTAGTCTCATCATATCCTGTACATTTTCGTTGGGGAAAAATAGTCGAAAATCATGAGTAGCACGGAAATCATTAGGGTGAGGGCGTTATCATTCTGGAATACCCTATCGTCTTCTTGTTGCAGTAATTACAGCAAACAGGCTGGATCTTGGTTATGTGGTGCTGTTCAACTTTCCACCTACAAACAAAGGCAATTGAGAGTTGTAGCTTATTGCAAAGGTAACAGTCTTCTGAAGACATTGGATGGAAAACAATACCATATACAACTTCCCCAGAGCTTACTCCATCTGAATGCCACCTCTTCTAGAGTTTACATAATCATATTGAAGGACGAGTTTTAACAAATTAAGAATTGGAAACTATTCTTTATATACTATTTTGTAACAAATTAATTTTAAAACTACAATATTTTACTGCTGAAAGATTATTGATAATGATGGAACCCATGTTAATAAATTCAAAATAAAAGATTTTATATTTTCTGTCCCTCTCTCAAATTAAGATATTATCACTGCGACGACTTTATATATTGTCACACTTCTGTAATGTATCATTTGTCTCATTGCTGCCCAATAAAAAGTTAAAGTAGGTTTGTTTATAATAGCTTCGTTTGTATAAGTCTTTAAAATCTGAAATAAAAAGTATTTATAATGAAACTTGTATGTCTCTGAGTCTATGCGAATGATCTTCCCGTCCACTCAGTGTTGGAAAGGTATTCATCCATTCAAAGACTGTCAGACAACCCAGACATATGGTTAGGTGCTTAGCCTCGCAGCAACCATACGACCACACCCAATCATGGGTGTGATAATGAAAATGAAAATTCTGTGCACGAAAAATTCAAGATGACTTGATATTTGCCGTGCTTTTTTCACTCACTCTGTCTCGAGATATATATATATATATATATATATATATATATATATATATATATATATATATATATATATATATATATATGTAAGCAAATATATGGATATTGATCCGACAGTATGAAGAAAAATATACTGAAAAAAACAAACAAAAATCCTAATATGCGATTATGCTGTTTTAATGTTTAATGTCAACGTCGGGCGTTTCGGTCTAATAGACCATCTTCAGGACATATTCATAAAACATAATTAACATAGACCATATACAATTCAACATGAAAAAGACGATGGATCTGTTATCTGTTTGGATTGGTATTGCTTTTATGGCAGAAGTAAAAGTGAGTGTAAAATTCTCCGTATTGTTAATTGTCCCAAGTGTTTTCACTCATTTCTTTAGTCATTTTCAAGGCAATTTCTTTTAAGCGTTGTTAAATTCTTTTCATGTTTCTTTATATTTTGATTGTTTGCTTCCATCACTGTCATATTCAACGATACACACACACATGCACATATATATATATATATATATGTGTGTGTGTGTGTGTGTGTGTATTTCGTGAAAACGCGAAACTCCAGCAAAGAAATATAATGCATACTTATTATCAACTCCCCCAAATTTTGATAATGGCTTAAGATTTCTAAAAACGTTTAGGAGATACTAGCGGGATAGCCGACGTTGTTCGTAAAATCTATGAATTAATGTGTTTTTTTATTGACAATTTATTAAAATCATTTTTTTTTATTCAATCATTAAAAAATAAACTTCATTGTTTTGGGGGCTTGTTACGAAATAACTAAATTTAGGAAAATACCACACTACCAATAATTGGACTGAACATCCCCATATTTTTATTCAAAAAGACACTTTATTTTTCGATTTAAATACTAACATAAATACAATATATGTTGTTTTCAAACAAATCAAACTTACATAAAAGTTCATTAAACTTTTTTCAAATTATTATTACTAAAAAGTTAATAAACTTAAATTAAGATAATTTTAAACATATTTAATTTAATCATCTTTTCAAGCAAAAACTATAGCGAGCCTTACTTCTTCGAAAAATTATTTACTATTCATTTTTTAAGTAAATAAAGTTTTACTTCTAAAGAAGCAAGATACATTGAGAATTTAATCTTGAAAAGCGATTATGTTTAAATTTCAAGTTATATTTGTATTTGAAAAGAAAAAACGTTAGTTAAATAAAAATTAGCAGAGATAGACATTACTTACGGTAAACATTAATCGTGTTGAATATTTGTTTAACAAATTTAACTATATTTTACTTAAATTAATTTTTAATATATATATATAAAGGATTATTCCTATAATTTATCGCTTATTTATTAAATTTTCTTTTCTTTCATGATATTTCTTTTATCTTTCTTTCAAAGGAAACCTTTCCAGGCTTTCATACTTTCGTCTTTTCTCATTTTTCTGTCTCTTAATACTTTGCCTTCACCAACTGCCGATCTCATCAAATTTAATGCCTACATCACTACAGAAATTACACGTTCAGCTCTCGTCTGCATTCCAACGCGTTCAGCTTTTAACGGGTTGAAAAGTTTTTCCTTCAACTCTGTAGTCTCTTGCAGATTGTCAAAAAGTCTAAACGGAATGAAACCAGAACCTGTCAGTTTTGGCAACGACAGTGCACGCATTTTGCTTTGGTTAGAAACAGTCAGCCAACTGGACACGACCACCTCCGTTGTCTATCTGACACACACAGGAAACAAGTGCTTAACAATGCCATGGCAAGCCGGTTATTTCAGGCGATGAGCTGGACTAAGCGGCCGAACGGCCACCTCCAATTGGGCCATCTCGTTACACGGACCAACTGGACATTAGCTTTCACTCTGCGCGGCCTGCGCGATTCATTATTTCAACCCTTACGCTAGACACGTAGCAAAGACGTGCGGATCATAGCGGCTATTTTGTGTGTATCTGCATGTATCTATGTACATACGTTTCTATGCAGAAAGTGATAAGTCTGTATGTTTCGGGAAGAGGGAAACACCAGGCTGGAGATTATTAACACGATGTGACAAAAACAGATATGTGTGTGTGTGCTTGTGGTGATGGGGGAAATATCGTTGAACTACGATGCTGATTGGTTGGTTATTCGGTTGGTGTTGTGGGTCTGGGTTTCCAAGAATGTAACCCGGTAAAGATTGTATGCACAGAAGTCTTTCAAGAACAGGTGGTCCCGGTTGGCTTTTGGAAAGACGTTATTCACCTTTTATATAGCGAAAAACGGAACATGGAAGGAGTACGCATGCGTAGTGTGAGAAGAAAATAAAAGTTTCGCGACGCGAAATAAAGACAAATCTGCTGACTCTTTCTCACTCAAAAAAACATTTATTCGCATGTCCAGTATATGACTAAGAAATTATTAGAGCACATAGCTGTGCTTACTCAGACACAATTTCGGTAGGATGAACCTGTTAAATCAAATAAGATTTACAATTCTTATTTAGAAGAATGTTTTAAAATCGTATATGTAATTTAAGCATTTAAAGGTCTCAAATATAAAAGAAATAAAACCGTATTTTATTTGCAATAAAATAAAAACTAACAGGATGTGTTGTTTTGTCTGATATATGTTTCATATATTTGTTCAGCTGTTTCAATATTTTTACTAGATTATTTTTCTGTGGAATATTTAATATATTCACGTATATAGGCTCTTCAATAATCTTCGGTCAACAAGAAAAATGTAAAAGTCATATAAATTAGGTTCCATGATAATGAAATAATAACCTGCTCAGTAAGAAATTATTTCTTTAGGTTCATCTTATTTATATAGAAAAATTCTGCCAAAGATTTCCATTTCTCTTTACAAATATTTATTCCTTACTTTGATAAATTAATTGGAAAATGAAAATCCTACAGTTATTCTATACCCTAAATTAAAATTTCTATTTTGCAATATTTTCGGAATCTCATTCAAAATCATATGAATTTTATCCTCTTCTACGGAGTATCTTAGGATATTCTAGTTTGAAGTTAGTAAATAGTACACTGGATGACATAACTAATAGGTAACTTACACACGCAGGAAAAAATAAAACAACAAAAAAGTTTAATTGGCGTTACGATATAGCATTCTTCATATCTATCTATCTATCTATCTATCTATCTATCTATCTATCCTCGGTTTAGTTATTCCTCTCTCTCCTTGATAATTTTTGTACTTTCCTCTCGTCACTGTCCTTTACGGCAAGGTCAAGAACTATTCCGAATATATGACGGTCAAGGTTTTTTTAATAGAGAAGTTTGCACGAAACATGACCACCCCAATAAGTTTGGCACAGCATAATCTTCCAAAAATATAAATCTCTCTATATAAATTACAGAAAGAAAACATAAAAAAATTATAGCATTTCGTTTGAGTAATATGGATAAAAGCATGGTAATGATGTTTTTGAGTTGCCTTGTCATCACCTCACTGATGCCTTATAATTTAGACGTGAATATTGAGTAAGATTCTGAGCAAGCCTCATCACAGTTCCATGTGAAAATATCAGTCATTAACTTGGATGAACAGCATCTCTTCAAATTCAATAATCCTCCCCTATCTTTTTCCTCGCTTGAGCAACTATTCTGATATATTCACGTCTGTTAGTCTAACTCAGTATTGGGACAGTTGCTTTTGATGACTGACAAAGATATCCAGGCAGCAAGCTGTGACCAGACATACATTTCAGAATAGCCTGACACTTGCTGTGAGTTCATAGTTTTAATAATTATTTATTCAAGAAATTAATTCTTCCATAATAAATAATAAAGACATTAATGAAAAAATAAAATTAGATCATTAAGTAATAATAATTAAAAATCGATCGAGTAGCTTTTATCTCCCTACAATGCTTACATTATACCCAGCTCCCCCATATTCTGAAAGACACTGAATCTACTGCAAATTTCTTTACCTATAGATTTATTTAAGTTTTAATCTTACAGATATATATTATTATAAAGTGAAAAAAATGACTGGTGAAAAAAACCATGAGTATGTTTGATCAGTTGCTGTCTTGTATTTTTATCGTGATATTTTTCGAAAATTTCTCCAATTAGGAAAATCAATAGATATGTAATACAAGAGCAGGGTATCACCGTCGAGCATACTTCTATCCCGCTTGTCTTAAAGACGAGAAATTTACAAATAAGCTGTCGATATGGCTATAATGAAGAAAACGGAATGTAATTAAAAAAAAACAACAAAAAACTCATTCGTTTTCTGAAGTATTTCAGTGCTGTATATTCTGTCCCTAATTTATTTTCATTTCTCTCATATAAAAACAATCGGATAACCGTTCATTTTCGAGCAATTAAAATTATTATATTGATATGGACGTCTGCGCAAAGAAAAGAAGAAAAAAAATCTCGGCCATTAATCCTCGGCAGTGTAAGTGCAGCACTCAAATACTTTTGCCGATTTTTATCTGCTCAGCTTTCGGCACTGATCATAGGTTGATCATTTTATCTCGTCTAAAACTTGTGAGGTTTCTTCTGAGTAAGAGAAATATACCTTAGGCAAGTACCTCACACTTAAAGATCTAAAAAGCTTTTCGGAGTTGTGTATAATCAGAAGTCTGTAATTACGTTCACAATCGATTCTCAGGGTTATTTTAATGATGTAAACATATAGAGGTGAGTGGCTGGGTTTGAATGTAATTGGATGTGTCCTGCTATGGAGAAGACAAGGAGGAAGTAGACGTAAGAAGAAACATTACAGAAAAATAGGACTAATTGTTATGTGAAGCATTAGGCATGTCTGACAAGCTTCACTAGAAACACGCTGCAAGCATGGGACTGAGGCACTAATAAATAAGCAACTTCTCGATGCTATCAGTGATCTTCATTCTTACAGTGTTAAATGTTGTCATGAGAGAGAAAGATGGTTTCAATATTATTATTATTATTATTATTATTATTATTTTGTTGTACATATTTTTGGAACGAAATAATGGAAACTAGCTGAAGACAAATTAATAAATCATAAAATAGTCCGGAGCACGACAATGTGAGAAAAATAGATATTAGGGAGATTATGTCATGCAAAATCTCCAAGCAGATAGAGGCTCAACATCCTCATTTAAAAAGGTTCAGATTCATTTCTTGAAATTCCCAACACTGATGGGAATACATATATATATATGTACAATCAAAATTATCCAAATCATGTAACAGCATAACTTTCCATCCAGCAAAACGTTTAATATCTAAAAAAAGAAACACTGAAATAATTAAGTTCCTTTTTTCCAGGTTTAACCATTTCTCGTAAGAATCACTGAAAAAGGCTTTTGAGATATTCAACTAGAAAAGAACAGGTTAAAATCATTTCGTGTCTTCCCAAATGAGCAATGGTGAGAGGAAAAACATCATTCAGGCCATCAGGAACAGTACCAACATTCGTACACTCTTCAAAGTCCATTCAAGAACCATCAAGAGAACGGTGAATAAGTTTAAAAAAGAGGGAACAGTAGAGAGGAAAACTGGATCAGGAGGTCACAACAGGAAGAGGGATCACCATTTCAACTTAGAGTTAAAAAGATCAATTACAAAAGATTCAACTCTATCCATGAGACGTTTGGCACCTGACAGAATAGTTTCACCTATGACAGTTCAAAGAGCGGTGAAAAAAGACTTGAAAATGAAATCGTATGTGAACCGTATGAGGCAACTTGTTACTCCAGGACAGAAAGTTAGAAGACAAAGATCATCTTGAATAAGTTAGAAAATGACCCTAGAATAATATATATATATATATATATATATATATATATATATATATATATATATATATATATATATATTATATTTGAACTTTATTTCAATTATTCCATTTTTCTTTATGATCGATTTCATCACGATTTTTCTTTAAGCTTGAAGAATAATTATACATTCTTATTGCTTAATGTAGAGTTCAATAGTGTTATAAAAACTCAGGGAATTCCAATAAGATATCTTTAATCATTTCTAAGATACAACGGTTTTAACGATTTGGACAATTTTGTTGTTACACCCGATATATATATATATATATATATATATATATATATATATATATATATATATATATATATAATAAAATAAAGAACAAATATGAAACGTAAATGCTTTACATTTAATAAAGCTTCAGAGTTTGAGTGAAAACAGAAACGCTGGTATTTTTCATTTGTTTCTGTCAGTTCTCAATTCTCTGTAGGTGCATTGTTTGGCTCATTTCTCTTGGTGTCACATGCGTTAAAACTGTATATAATTCGATAGATAATTCTAAATTTGTGAAGATTCTTGTATGTCTAAGTGGGCATCGGATGGTAATGTGAGTTTGTAATTGTGTGTATGTCTATCTAGTAGAAATTCTAATTTCTTCACCTTTGTGCGGTTAAGCCAGCGCTGCGGGATGTTACATCATTTTATGGTTAATCTTTTTCAGCTTGTATTTTTTGTATTATAAGTTAAATTCTTTAATAACGGATTCAGAGAAACATTGCGTTGTAATGTAATGTTCTTGGCCTGTATGTTTATAGTTGATAATAATGTCATTATTAATTTTTCAATGCATTTTCTCTTTAAAGAATTATGTTCTTTTTAATTAAAGTGGCATTAGTGAAATCAAAGTAATGTACAGCATCCTTTCGATGCAAAACAAAAGATTTGTGTTCAGAGATGCGAGTTTTTATGTCACGTGATGCCTTCCCCACAAAAACATTTTTGCATCGTAAACAATTTATTTGATGGATCCCAGCATTTGAATTGGTGTTGAGTTTATTTTCCTTCCTAATTATATATTATTTTGGAAGTGGTGGTAACGATCCTAGTATTAGGGATGACTAATTTGTTTGCGAGTTTATAAAGAGAGTCGGATTATGAAGTTTGTGTAATTTTTGTTAGAAGAGTTATTGGTAATGTCCGTTTTTTTGTAAGTTCGTTTTTAGCGTTGAGGATAAAATGATGTGATTAGCGGAAAAGTTTGAAAGTTTTCTCGGTATATTTTTCTTCTTCACTTGGGTATTCTGTCGGATTCCGATCCATATTTGATCTGCATTTGATCTTTGAGAGGGAGAATAGTTCCAAGATAGATTTGTGCAAGCTGATATTAGTGAGTGACATGGATTCAAACTTAATTTCTTGTCACATTTCCGTTACTCTTTTGTGAAAATGACACTTTCTTAATCTTTTATTCTTGTTAATGTGACGAGTTTTCATTGTTTTATGATAATGTATGAATTCTTAGCTAATCTCTATGAGTATACGCGAAATTTCCATTTTCGCGAGGTAAGGTAAAAATAATAATAAAGATGGCTCGGAATGGTCTGAGAAAGAAACCGACTAAAAAGAAAAAATGACACACAAAAAATGAAAGGAGGAACAGAAGTCAGAAACTATAGAAATAAAAAAAAAGAAAGAAATTTCATCCTTTTTTTTATTTTCCTTCTTGTGCGAAGCAATGTTAAAAAAAGAAATGAAGTAAGCAATAACGAACATCTTATACTTTACGAAAATAACGAAGAAGAAAAAAGCAAAAATGAGGGCGTAGATTTCAAAATCAACGTAAACCACAAATATTGGCAAGCGACTATTGCTGTCAGCATCTAGCATTTATGTTTTTTTGGCTCATCACTCGATTGTCACTGGGTTAAATGCTTATAATTTCCGCTCGTGATCGAGTGATTTTTCTCTTCCTTGCCGCTTTTCTTGGTTTTCCATATCAAGTCCATAATAATTAATCCGGAAAAGAAAATCAACGTCTATCGTGTTCTTTTTCTGCTCTATAAACAAAAGCATTTTCTCCAGTTGTGAATCCAGGTTTACTTACCAAGGTATCTGCCGAATACTTTACAAACAGTTATACAGTTTCATGTTCATTTGGAACAACAGAAGTCAGAGGTTGAGTTTGGTTAGAATAGAGTCCATTTTTGGAGTCATTTGTTTTAATCATTTCACTCCAATCAAGACAATAAAGCAACTAAGACGCAAGTGGGGTACCGAATGTGGAAAACATGAAAAACAAAAAACAAAAAAAATCATTATTAATAAGAGGGAACAAAAAATAAAGAAGAGGCTTTCTTATCTTAGAAAACCTATGTTCGCTGGTACCAAAACGACAAAAATAGTTTGTGCTATTCTCCCTTAATTGATTCAGTCAAAATTTCAGATAGAGTATATCTGTAAAAGGACAATATGAATAAAGACAAAAGGAACCTTCATAAAATCCCTCAGAAGACGAAACGCGTCGTCCAACATAGGTTTTCCTTTTGTCTTTATTCACATATGAATATGTGTGTGCATTCTTATACATATTTTTGTGCATATATACACACACGCGCACAAACACACGCACGAGCACACAGACACACATATGAGATGATGCAAACGCATTACTTGAGAAAATGTGGTTAAATCACAAGCCATAAAAATTTGGGTAAGGTATCATGACAGGGACGTTTTGCATCAATTTTATGAATATATATATATATATATATATATATATATATATATATCACACTGGATAATGCAAGAATTGACTGACAGGAGTTAAGTCAATGAAAGAGTGCAGGCCAGATATTAATTGCTGCGAATGTTTCTCACGGTTCCAAGGAGCTATATTTTTGAAATAATATTTTTGTGTTCTTTTAATTTTTTGTGTTTATTTTTGTTTTCAATCGCTGTAGATAAATTTGATACTTGACATCCTGCCAGTACTTTCATAGATGCTTAATAGGATCATTTTGGCGGATTGAGTTGAGGTTTTGTTGTCGCAGTTTCGTTTCACCTGTTGAAACATTTTTAATTTCTTGTTGCAAGTGTTTATTTGGATCTTTCAAATAGGTCTTATCCGTTTGGGTTAAAGCAACCCTCTTGTTTAATCTGTAGATATTTCTGAATATATTTCTAGCTCGATGTTTCTTTATCCTTCAGTCTGTTAATCTAATCCAGTATCTTTCTTTCTCTCATATTCTTCCCAACCCCAATCTGTTCAAAATCTCTCCATGAGTTTCTGTAAAACAGAACACTGTTAAGAAGAATACGGTAAAATGAGGATAATCATGCGAAAATTTAAGGTACAGCTTCCTTGCCTCTTTTACACTTTTTGTAAGCTTTTTGAACTTACTTATTTATAAGGGAATATATATAGAAAGATTTAAAAAGAATTCGATCATTTGTCTCTCCGCTCTCTTTTTCCTCATTCATGTATGTTCATGCCCAGGTACGAATCGGGTTATTAAATCTAGATATTCTAGAACCTAATTTAATGATTAATGCAAACAATGTACAAACCCTTCTATTTTCTTTATTTGGCCTTATGATTCCTCTTAAACATCTATCCACATGGTCTCCTATATTGTGATTAACAATTTTCTGGCTCACAATAAGATCATATGCACAGTGAAATATGTATGTGTGAGTGTAATTATAAGATCTAATATTGGTTCTTAGAAGCCACACTTCCAATCACATGCTAAGTCGTTTTCCAGTTGCGTTCTTCAGCCTTTTCAAATGTTTTCCTCTTCGTCATCACCTCATGTTCACTAAAGGCAATGGGGGATGCAAATTTAAAAAGGGAGATCACCGAAAATACATCAACCGTATTCTCGCAACCACCAGATCTCGTGAAGCGTTTCATTTGTACTTCACATCATTTATTATTTCTCCTTTTCTTTATAACCTTAAGCGATATTTCTCACTTGCACTTCTTTTTAAGTCGTTCGCTTGTCATCATCTGTCTATCCATCAACCTGTTTTTCTATTAGTCGTTTCTCTTTCTGGCTTGGACACTTCTTTTTACGCATGAGTAAATACTCAAATTTTCATATTTCAACAGCCATATATATATATATATGTTAAAATATGAATATGTGGATTAAAGAATAATATATATATATATATATATATATATATATATATATATATATATATATATATATATATATATATATATATATATATTGTCTTTAATTAAACAGTTCAAGAAATGTTCAAGAAATTTCGTAGAAAATATGTTTTCTGGCAGGAATCGAACCTACATCCTATGAGGAACCATCATATAGAGACACCCATAATATAGTTTTACTTTATAATACTTTTTTTCTGTTCATCTATATCGAATTTATCTATTCCTTTCTTTCTTTCTTTCTTTCTTTCTTTCTCTCTCTCTCTCTCTCTCTCTCTCTCTCTCTATATATATATATATATATATATGTGTGTGTGTGTGTGTGTGTGTGTGTGTGTATGAGTGTGAGTGTGTGTGTAAAACGTTATATAAAAAGATAATGTGTAAGAAAGATTATTTTTCCTCTTTCTTGTCTGTATTTTTCTCTTTCTCTTTTCTAGTCTTTTATTCACCACACTTGTTCATACGCACTAACGTTTTCTACACGAGCATGGTAATGTCTATCAACATGCAAACATGTCTATGTTTCCATATATGAGTGTGAGAGAAAAAAAAAGGTAAAAGTGAGGTAGGAGATAAACATAATATACGCAGGTATCTCTTTTAGCAGTCATTCATTTTTCTTTCTTTTGTTTCTCTTTTTTCTTTCTTTCTTCACGTTTTTCATTCCTTCACTCGACTCGCTTTGCTCCGCCCACCTGCGCTCTTGATTGATTGGCATCTCAACAATAGTTGTTTATCTATCTCCCTACCCTGGAGAGCTCCTGTTGACTGAAGCCTTGCCAGAAATGAGATGAACACACAGGATAAATATGGAGCAAGTTGGCTCGAACCTCCTTTGATATAAGCGGCCACGCTCGGACGCCTCCCGTCGGCTGAGGCTTTCTACCACTCGCACCCCATCATCTCCCTATATGTGGCCCTTCACTTGCGTCCACACCCCGACACCTAACCAACTGTCTCCCTAAACCTGATGACATGGTCGCTCGTGAAATAGATTATTCGCCCTCCAATTATTGAGATAAGAAAATTCCTCAAGGGTGGCTAATAAAACATGGGGTGGCGAAGAGGAAGAGGGTAAGGGTCAGTTATGGGAATGAATAAACCTAAGAGAGAGTGGTAGTGAGGGAAGTGAGAATTAGACGGGAGAGAGGGACAAAGTTGCAGTGATGCACAATCAGTTCGGGGGGTTGTGCGGGTTAGTTTTTGTGATGACTGTAGCGATACAGTTAGAGTGGACACTGAGAAAAAGAGCGAAAGATAGATGACGAGATCCGAGAGTGAAAAACTGTGTACCGACATGGATGTATTAAATATGCGTAAAAAAGAATAAAAAAGTAAAGAACTTCAAAAAAGAAATAAAACGATCGATAATTATTTAATGAACCAATTTAAGAAATAACTGTGTATACTAAAGAAAGGTGGAATGAAGGATCAAGTGGTCACAGAAAGAAGAACATACAATAAAAACCGCATCAATGTCGATATTGAAGATAGAATCAAAATTGACAAAAATGAAGGAAAAAAGAAAAATGGAAGAAAATCCTTAAAAATAAAATGGTCGACATTATTCAGTTCGTTGACAGAATCGGGTAATAATATGTCTTGTGGATATATTGGTAAAGCATCATCTATGTATCTGAAATAAGAATTTTGTGGTAAAATATTTTTGAGGGAACCACTTTCCAGAAATTCTAAAAATAGACATGTCAAAATGCCAGTGAAAGGAGTCCCCCTCGGTAAACCAAATTTTTTCTATAAAAAATGTTATCGAAGGTGAAAAAACATTGGTGACTAAATGGCACAGTTTTATGATTTTATGTGTAGGAATAGGTAATTTTGTTTTTGTTTTAGTGTTTTTAGTACATTTAGATATTTCTTTACAGGAACATTTGTGTATAAAATTTAATATCTAAACTAGTCATATATTTGTTTTTGATGTTTATGTTCTTTAATTTATTTAAAATATCAGTGGGTTTTTTTATATACGAGAAGCTAATTGTACCAATAAGTGCGGTTAAAATTTTGGTTTGCGTATCGTCTAGTTTATGTGGAGCGCTGCCTATTCCTGATATGATAAATCTCATCGAAGTGACAGGTTTACGTACTTTTGGTAATCCGTAAAGTGTAGGTGTTTTCGGGTGGTGTTCAATGAGTTTTAGCCAGGAACTTTCTTCATTTTTTTATTATTATTTACTCCTGTCTTAATGGTAAGTCTAATTGACGCTAAAAGGCATCTGATCTTTAAAAATGACTTTCAATCTATTTTAACTGAAGCAAGAAATGGTCTGTTCATTTTAACGCCCCAAAAACAAAACTGATATCTTTGAATCGTCTTAGAGAACTTTTGTTACTTTCCATTAGGATTACCTTCATGTAAGTGACTCGTTGCACTTTCTCCTTCTAATGTTTTCCACTGACCTTAAATGGAACGATTAGATCGAATCGGTTTCTAGCTTATTCTAATCAGAGCATCTGTGCATTGAATATTGCTACCAAATCTGGTCTGGTGCTTCTGCTATGTATGTATCAATAGATTCTTAACAAAATCCAAAAAAGTACCAGTAATATTATGAGTCTTGAACTTGCATTTCTGTTTCAGTCACTTTCCCATTACCATAACGTTGCTTTTCTCTACATTGTTTAAAAATATTTTCATGTTCATATATTTTTCTTCTTTGGTACTTCTAATTCACGAATTTAAGTGCAGTATTGTGTTGGCTGTTAGGTCTAATTATTTTGCACTCGAAATTACTAGATGTCACCATAAAATCTATGCTCGCAATTTTATCGTGTGAAATTCTCTTCTGACTTCTTGCTTTGCTGTAAACTATGATATTCAAAAATTTAAATGCAACGTCATTTTCTGTCTTTTTAATCCTGTTCTTTATTGTCCTTTATCCTCAATAACGTTTTCTCAGTATCGTTGTATCTTAGTGCCTTTATCGCTTTGCTTGGGGTGAAATAAATTTATCTAAATTTTATGTCCTTCATAAATCCTCAAGTTCAAGTTGATCTCGGATTACAAATTTCCTTCTGAATCTTATATCGATATATCTGTATTTTAATGATGTAAATAAAACGTTGTTTTACACCATAAATATTTATTTTCAGCATTATCATCTTGCAAATGCATTTAATCAAATGCTTTCCCATGGATCAATTAGACCGAACATTACACAGTAAACGTTTCAATTTTTTTATAACATAGCATGAAAATTGACAGGTGATATAGAATGTTAGTGACTATATATTATAGAACAACTCAGCAAATATGCAGCTATCACATTCTTCATATCGTTATCATTATATAATTTTACTTTATCATTATATAATTTTACTTTCCACCTGAGATGATCATAATATTTCCAACGTTATATTTCTGTTATCTTTACTTTATCAATTGCCTTTCTTTGTCCGTTTCGCTAACGTTGAAATTTATTTGTCATACTCAATATCTAGCGATGAACTTACCCATTCATTGAGCAAATTAAGAATCTTTGATAAAGCGCAATCGCTTTTAAATATTCGACAAAGCCACATAATTCCATGGAGTTATAGGAAATGAAGTAAATGTTGACTTTAATTTTTATAAATATTAAAATATATAATTTTCTGAGATGAGAAATTATTATTATGCAGTATTTCATTCGAATTGCTATCTTATTCTTGGTTGTTATAGTCGCAAATGTTTGTATTTTTACCCTTTTGCCTACTCATTCTGCTCATATGAACTGTATAGGGATAAGAACAATCTATCATTATCAATCAAATAAAGTGTTTGTTTGGGAAATTGTAAACCAATTGTTACCAATTAAAACTGGTACTTGAATAAGACCAGTGAGTACTGTAGCTGAAACATTCTAACTATAGATAATTAATTAATCGCTTCAATTATTTTATTCATATTTCCCCTTAAATATTCGGATCTCTTCGATTAAGCATTGTTACTAGAACTATTTTCATAGGTATATCTGTTGTCATTTGACAGTCGGTTAGTTTTTTATTAAGTCATTTTTGTATTGATATTTATTCTTTCTTACGCTAATTTTTTATTATACCTTTCAAATGTTTGATATATTTCACGTATATATTTTAAGACTTTCGCTCCTATTTATTATTATTTTTTCTTTCTTATCTAAATCAATTTCAGTTTTTCGTTTTGTTTCTTGCTGAATCTGTTTTATATCGCATAATTTCCCTTCTTACTTTTAGAGTGTCCATTGCCATCCAGGTTTCTGCTGTTATCTGAAATTCTTTCTTTGCATCTTCTAAAGATGCTAACGATCGGATTCCTGCCTTATGATTTATTAAGGGAATGATAAAAAGCAGACACCATACCTTTATAATCTTCACCAATCAACTTTTCTAACTTTATTTTTAACTTCATTCTTGATGACTGTTATTGAACAGTTAAGATTAATAATGCTCCTGTTCAAGAGGTCACCCAAACAATTTGAGGGCTTTCTTATATTATCTCATTTATCAGTCCCAGATTGTTCGTTTGTTATTTCTACCTTTAATGCATTTATTCTTATCGCTAAATCTATTTTTTATTGAGACCATCCCTAGACCTCGACTCTGAGGGAGGTAGGTTATACAGCGTTGTTTCTATTATTATTATTATTATTATTATTATTATTATTATTATTATTATTATTGCTGTTGTTGTTGTTGTTGTTGTTGTAGTTGTTCTCGACATATTATGCATTTGCACGTTTGTCAGTAGATGTTTGCTTGTCATCGCAGAAAACTGGACGACTGCAAGTTTTCTTAAATTTCCAGCATGTACTCACTAACATCGCAGACCCCAACAACACTGTGATCAACCCTTGTATTTATGACCTGTCTAATTTCGTGTTATAGTGTGTATAGTACGGTTCTAGCTGCCACTATGATGC